AGTGGTGACTCCCAGGGGCTCTAGGCTTGCTTCCTGCCAACTTAGTAGCACCAGCAAAAGGGACCTTTTTTCCTGCAGCAAAATTGAGGTCTGGTTCTCATTGGTTGTACTTGAGTCACATGCACATCTGTGAACTGCCGGTGGCCAGGGTGCTGTGATGCTCACATTGGCCAGACCAGGATCACCCCTGGGGTAGCAGTGGTGGCATCAGTCACATTCAAGCCACATGGAAAGGGAAAGGTCGTTTCCCACATTAAAACCACGATTACCAAGAAGGGCATGGCATGCAGGAGTGAGGCAATGGGCAGCTGCTCCATGGGCTGGTACTGTGGCCACAGGAGGCCCAGTACTTAGAAGGACACTGTGTTTGGTTTAATGCTATGGACACTGTGTTTGGTTTATTATAATTCTTAATAATTTTTATAGAGATTTTTTAAAAATGATATTTATTATTGAAAGAGAAAGACCCTTAATCCGAAGAAGGCTCCGTGCTGACAGCAGCGAGCCCAATATGGGGCTCGACCTCATGAACCGCGAGATCATGACCTGAGTAGAAGTTGGATGCTCAATCGGCTGAGTCACCCAGGCACCCCAAAATTATTAGTAAGTTTTGAAGACAGAGACTTTGACCAGGAATCTTCCTCTTTCACTGGGTCTGACAAATTTTGCAGCTGATCTTGCTGCTACACTCCTATGTGTACGGGGAAAGCTTCCTGGAACATGGAAAACACAGTTCTCTCAGAGACAAAGAAGCATTAGGGCATATCTGGGGAAAAGCAGGTAGTCTGTGCCAGTTGAAACTTTAAGGAAATGATGGAAACTTCATTCATTCATTCGCTTGTTCATTTAACACTTGATTGAAGGAGGGTCCTGCTACTTCCAGGGAACAGGAAGAGGAAAACAAATGACCGTCCGAGACCCACGAGTAGCTCATAGTCTATTGGAAGAGGGGTAGAGACACAGCACAGCAGAGTAATGACTGAGATAAAAATAAGCGCCGAAAGCCTGGGCCACAGAGAAGATGCCACCACCCAGCCTGGAGGTGGGTACGGTGCAGTGTTGTCCTAATGGGAAAGGCATGTGATTGACTGATAGAAGCCAATGGACACAGAGCATGTTAAGCCACTTGGTTGGCAGTTGATAGGGAAAGGTATGGAGATGGTTCCTCAGAGCAGGAGATGTACACATGCTTCCAGATAGTGGCTTGTGGATGAGCCATTGGGTAGAGTGCATGACACTCCCCAACAGCACCATTGTCCCCAAGACCCCCAACCTCACCACTGAATATCCTTCATGCCTGAATATTCATGCAATCCAGCCCTAGACCCAAGTGTTAAGATTTTTGCAACTATTGGGGCGCCTGAGTGGCTCTGTCGGGTAAGCGTCCGACTTCGGCTCGGGTCATGGTCTCGCGGTTTGTGAGTTCGAGCCCCGCGTTGGGCTCTGTGCTGACAGCTCAGAGCCTGGAGCCTGCTTCGGATTCTGTGTCTCCCTGTCTCTTGGCCCATCCTCTGCTCAGGCTCTGTCTCTCCCTGTCTCTCAATAATAAATAAATGTTAAAAAAAATAAAAAAAAAAGTTTTTCAACTGTCAACTCAGCAGGTAAAATCATTCTTAAATCTTGAGCCGACAGCAGTAACTACTTGAATGACCCAATAAGGAGTCCACACTGAAACAATCTGAAACAGTTGAAACCCTCCAACCCCTGGACTTTTCATTTACACGAACCATCTTCACCCTGAAATAACAAAAGAATGATTTCTCCCCATGTTTTTCTCTTTCATTGAGAGTTTGGGCACCAATAAACTCTTGTTGGCAGTGTGGCTTTTCTCTAGCACACTTTTGACAATTTGTCCCTTTTGAGTATCATCATGGACTTCATGCTTTTCACAGACTCAACTGGTTCCAATTAGCTGTGATAACGGGCTTCTCAAATATCGCAACTTGCTCAAAAAATAAAATTCAGACAGGGTCCCTATCCTTAAGGAAACTTACATTCTTTTTGAAAAAATGAGATCTAACATCCATGGAAAATGTCGTGAACGGAACAAGGTAGCACATGGTTTTAAGGGGCTGTTCTGTCGCAGAATTGGGCAGCGCCCTTCCTCCCAAACAGTTCTTTGGATGGACCGATTTTCATGGGAGCTAAGAAATTTCCTCTGGGGAGAAAACCCGCATCCATCCACAGATGGATTCAGATTCCTGTAAGCATGTTGGCAGGGAAGGGCGCTACCGACTCTACAAAACTGGGAGGGCCAGGGTCACATGCACCAGTGCAAGACTTCCTTCAAGCAACAAGTAAAGGCTGCTGGTGTCTATGGCTGAGTATCAGGTCACTGGAAACCTTAGTGACTTAAACATCAATTTACCCTCATGGCTCGTGGTTCTGGGAGTTGACTGGAATCATCAGCAAGGCAGTTCTCGCCCAGGGCTTCTGATCTCCGATTTCCATGGTTACAGTCAGAAGGTGGCTGCAGCTGGAGTCCTCTCAAAAGCTACTTTGCTTTTATGCTGGCTGTTGGCTTATGCCTTAGCTGGGGCTTTCTGCCAGAACACGCCTCTCTGTGTGGCCAGGCTCCTCAGAGTATGGTGTCTGGGTTCCAAGAGGGAGGCAGGGTGTGGAGGCTGCCAGTTTCTGAGGGCTTGGGGCCAGAAACTGGTGTGGCATCTCTTACCTATATTCTATTGGTCAGGCAGTTGCAGAGACCAGATTCAAGGAGGGGTGACCCAGAGCACCATTGGTTGGGAGGTGTGTCCAAGAATTTGGGGGCCACTTTTAAAAACAGAAACACTAATTTTTTTTTAGTGTGAAGCGTATGACACAAATTCTCTCATTTAACTCTCACAGCCATCAAAGCATTTCAATAGTTTGGGTGCGAACGAAGAACCAGTCACAGAGGAAACTAAAATTCAGAGAAAAGCTAGTGACTTGCTCAAGATCACACAGCACTCTAGCTCCAACGCCTATGTGCTTAGCTACTACTGTCTGTTGGGTTCCCAATACCTGGGGAAAAGAGGAATCTTCAAGGGGTTGAGGCCCTGAGTGGGTGGGAACCCCAAGAAACCCTAAAACTGTGCATTGATGTGAACCTGATGGTACTGGAACAGAAGGTGTCCACCTAGAGCCCACAGCATCCAGGCTACAATGCTCAAGACAGCCTTTTCACCAGAAAGGGATTTGAGACGGGAAAGGCATTGGTGTGGGCTGAGTTGCCCACAGAGGCCTACATGGGCCCTTTCTTCAGCTGGGCCTTGAAGGGCAGGTAGGATTTGAGTCATGGAGGCGAATGGAAAAGAATTACTAAGGTTTTCTTGTAGGTCCTTAGGCTTTGCTCTTCATTTGCTCCAGGGGAAGCCCCTCTGCCGATGCAGTACATCGGGATCTCATGTCAAAAATAAGTCTTCGTTTCCTCACATGTCTTCATTTTGGGGACATGTGGTTTGCCAAAAGGCCATTAAGTTCAACTAAAATAGCTTGGTCTTACTATACATAAAACTTATGCATGGGTTGTGTTAATATATGGTCCCCTCACAGAACACAAAGAACCTTCCTCAACAGGAAACCTCAGTGGCTTACTCTCTCTGTGTGAGGGTCTGCTGAAAAGGGCAGGGAATAATTTGGCAGAAGAAAAAAAGCTGGAGTTACAGCTTAATTCTGGCATGATCATGTGGTTGGAAGGTCAAAACAAAAACCTGCCACATTGCCTTTTGTTCAAAGTTCACTTGGAGAGATTGCGTGAGACTCTTTGATCTTGTAGGTCAAGGCACCAAGGCTTCAGGGCTCTTGAATTTATTTTGTGGTGAGGCTTCTGGGTTTCTGAATAAAGACCTATAGTTAGAGTGTAATTTCCTGCCCTGCTCCCCACAGCATGGGCACCGACTACATCACCCAGCTCCTCTCAGGGGGGAAGGAGATCCGAGGCCACAATTTTCCCAAATCCTCTAAACTAGGATCTAAAAAGGGTCCTCTCTGAGGAGATCTTGGAAAACCTTGTGATGAAAAGGCGTTTCCTTGCTTAAAGCCAGGGCGGTCTTTCCGGTAGACTAAGCCTAGTGCCATGTGAAGGGCTTGAGAGCTGCTCCCACTGATGGAGATGAAATAGATGTTTACCCTTATGAATGGTGGGGCTTTAGTCCCTGACCCGTAGAGCATCCAATGGACCTGGATTTCCCTTGCACACAGTACACTTACACTCAGCAAGAGCAAGGCCAGCCTTCAAGTTGGAAGGAGAGCTACCCGTTTCCAGGAGGCTACTTTAAAATTTTTTTCAACTCAGGGTGCTTGGGTGGCTCAGTCGGTTGCGCGTCCGATTTCGGCTCAGGTCATGATATCACGGTCCGTGAGTTTGAGCCCCGTGTCGGGCTCCGTGCTGACAGCTCAAAGCCTGGCGCCTGTTTGGAATTCTGTGTCTCCCTCTATCCCTCTGCCCCTCCGCTGTTCACGCTCTGTCTCTGTCTCAAGAATAAACATTAAAAAAAATTAAAAAATTTTTTCAACTCGAAAAATATATGCTCGTTGTAGAAAGAGCATACAACTGCAGAAAAGGGACAATTAAAAAAAAAAAAAAAAAGCCAGCCATCTGTAATCCTATTACCAGAAATAATCACTGTTATTGTGGTATATTTCCAGAACTTTTTCTATGCATATGTGCCTGTATAAGTGGTTATGTGTTCACACCCTCCATGTTTTTGTTACTTGTTCTTTCTCATGTACTACCGTATCCTAAACACTTTTCATGTCAATAGATACATTTCAATGATATTACGTGTCTCAAGTTTCTTTGAAGAGTTGTATTATTTAATGAATCTCATTGGAAGTTAATGTTGACAACTTTTTTTTTTTTACTATTATAATCAATACTATAGTAACTCTTAATATTTTCCTTTTGGATATGTTCTGAAGAATGTAATTGCTAGATCAAAGCTTATGGACACTTTTAAGGATTTTCATATCCCATCAGTCAGGATAGGCTAAAGGTTGTAACAAACACCCAGATCTCATTGGCTTAACACAGTAAAGATTTATTTCTCTTTTATTACAGTTCAGTATAGGTCATCTGGTTGGTGGGGGTGGAAGGAGCTCTACCCAGTCCTCTGGAAACAGAATTTATTCATATGATGGCTTTCCATTTGGCAGCGACTTGGAGTTCTTCAGCGGATCCTCTGATTTCAGCTGATAAGCAAAAGGAGGAGAAAATGAGAGAGAGGGAGAAAGGATGAGAGAGAGGACAGAGGGAGAGAGAGAATGGAGAATTGCACAGGTGGTTTTTGGGCCAGGCTTGAAATTGACTCACATCACTTCTTCTGCCCACTTTCCAGTTGTCTGAAACTCAGTCACATGACCACTCCTAACTCAACAGAGGCAGGAGATGCAGTTTCCCTGTGTGTGCAGGAAGAAAACACAGAGTTTGGTGAGTGCAGAGCATCGTTTCTGCCTCAAACATACATTACCGAGTTGCCAACCTATGAAATGTCTCCAGTTTAATATTCCCACCAGTAGAGTATGAAAATTCCTATGTCCCTACACCCTCAATAATGAAAAGGAAGACATTTTTCATGTTGTTTTCTGTAGATCTACATAAGGCATTGATGCTTCTCTACACGACTAGACTCCAAATATCTGTTTTTCTCTTGTGAGATATCTCCCTGTGCTCAGGACCAAGCTCTCTGGAGAGTCAGGACAGCGTTTCTGACTGCTTTCCGGATAGCAACCCTCATCTCTATCTCACAGGCTGGCCTGAGTTTCTGGGCCTTTCTCTCCCTGTTCTTCTGTCTCCCCCTTCTCTTCCCTGCTGTAGAGGAAGAGGTAATGTTCAGAAGTCTGCAACATGGGCGACCCTTACAGGAGCCCTGCCCTACTCCCCTGGCCCCACATACCCGACTGCGTGGCTCACGCAGAGGCATGAGGAAAAGATTCGCACTCTGCATTTTCTGGGCCATCTCAGGTGGGTTCCTGCTTACAATGCATTTTCACAGAAAAAAAGTTCAGAGAACGGAATTGGGAAGACAGAATAGCAGTCCATACAGACTTGGCACATTGACCTTGACCAAACCGTCTAGTGTCTTGTCCTTAGCACTCAGTGTTCCTCCAAAATAATCCTTCCCGATTAAATCAGGAGGAGTAAACTGCTTAGCAATCGTAAGGGGAAGGCGATAGAATTGTGCAAAACCTATTTTTGACCATTTTCACGTGAACTCAGGTTACTGAACAACCACTTACATCTAAGCTGTGGTTTCTTCCTTGTTTTGAAATTTAGTTTCTAGAAGATAATGCTTTCAAATGGCTTCTTGTTCATGTCTTCCTCAGGGACTACCAGCTGCTGCCTGAAGATTGCCTGGCAGGCCTGACCCCTTGGCAAAGCAAAGCGTCCAGTGAGGTCTTTGCAAAAAGTCTCTCCAAGGAGCTGAGGAGCTGGGCATCAGTACAGCAGAAAAATGCAAACCAATCAAGTCACAGATTTTTCAGGCATGCCAACCTTCTGGTCCTAGGCATGAAGCATCCCAAAAAGCCTAGGAAAATTCATATGTTTTCCTAAGAATGAACCGATATCTTGTCCTTCCAAGTTGTATTCTCTGATCCCTCCCTGAGAGGCAGCCATGATCTCTGAGGGGTGATAATCGCTGGGCCTCCTGGCTGAGTGAATCATACCAACTGTAAGCTTGGCTTATGACCCAGAAATGGAAACAGGAAGTGGCTTACAGAATATAAAGAGCACAGTCAAGGAAGGAGTGCAGTAGAATTCTCCTCGGATGACATGGTGTACAATAGACAGAGGTGAAGACTGGCATTTTTCCTTTTTTCTCTTTTTTCTTTTCTTTCTCTTACCATGATGCCCTCTGGCAGGGCTGGGCCATCTGAATGGGGAGTGGGATGTCTTCCCCGGGGTGGCAGAGGGGGAACCACTGTGGATAAGTAGCTTCTCTCCATAGGGAGCCCATCTGTGGGATGCTATGGCCCCTTTTCACCTCATCTTTGCAAATTAATTTGGGTTCTTCAGAATGTATTTTGCCAGGCTTTATAAATGTAAACTCTCAAGAGGTGCTTCCAACAAGAAAAACCGACTTCTGGCAGCTTTGAATAGTTCCCAGAAGGTTCTCTGAGCCCATGGCGGGGAGGGCTTCCTTGCACTCATGCTAAGACACAAAAATCCACTGTCATCCCTGGATGCCTGGAGGGGGCTGGATGGGGAGGGAGCCTGTCCTGCTCTGGGCATGGCCCTGGGGCATGGTGGCTGCAGGCGGGGTGGCCAGTGTGGGTGGACAGAGGTTTGGAGGGCTGACCTCCCTCTAGATGAAGGGTACCTCCCAGAGCTTCCCCACACTCCCCTTTATGCCTCTCCCAGGGCTGAAGAGCAGCTAGTGGAGGCTGAGGCCTGGCACATTGACTCAAACCAAATCATCCAGTGCTTTGTCCTTAACGTTCGCTGTTCCACCACAGTTACTGTCCCCAATGAAATCAGGATGAGTAAACTCCTAAACTGGGTACTGGGCCCACCTATGCCAGTGGATGAATCTTGAAGACCTGAGGCAGAGCAGGGCCTGGGCCCTGAGGAGGGCCCACCCAGGAACCAGTCTACCATCAACAAATGCCTCCTGAGGACCCTCTCTAGACCAGTTTCTCAGACTGGAGTCCTGAGGCAGTGGCAGAATGATGGGTGGGAGTGGAGCTTTTAAAAAGGCTGATTTTCAGGGAGCCTGGGTGGCTCAGTCGGTTAAGCGTCTGACTTCCACTCGGGTCATGATCTCGCAGTTCGTGGGTTCGAGCCCAGCATCAGGTTCTGTGCTGACAGCTCAGCTGTGGATTCTGTGTCTCCCTCTTTCTCTGACCTTCCCCTGCTCACACGCTGTCTCTCTCTCTCTCAAAAATAAACATTAAAAACAAATAAAAATTAATTAATTTTAAAAAGGCTGATTTTTGGTCTCCTCTATAGGCCTCCAGAATCCAAAATTTTCAAAGAAAGTCCTGGAAATCTGTGTTTTGGCACGCATTCTCTTCCCTAGGCCGGCCAGTGCAGTAAAATTTAAGAATCTTTCTCTATACCAATCCTGGTCTCATTTATTATCCTTTTCATGAAAATATTTCGTTTTCAACCTTTTGTGACTTCTGAAAATGGAATCTGAAGCAGAGGGATCCACTTCCATAATACCGCCTGTGGCCATCACTGGCACACTTGGCTTGCCGATTTTATCAGAGGATGCGAAGGAAGCCAACCTTTGATTATCAGGATGCCCATATCTACTTTTCCGTTGACTTGTCGCCATTAAAGGCGCCTCTCCAGCTTTTCCTTTTCTCCTCTTTCTGCGAGAAAAATGGGCCTGGTGCTCTTGGAAGCTGTGCTCTTGGAGCCCTTGAGCGCAGGGGCGAGTGAAAGTAAACTTGTTCAAGTTCCCTGAAGAAGCGGGAGTGGAATCCATCGGTGTTCCCACGGAGAAAGCACCGACTCCAAGAGAATGCAGGATGAATGGAGAAGGATGACGTCACAAAGATGTCCGGGGAAACACCGGAACACCGTCACTCCGCTCACTCCTTGGTCTCCTCCCACCACTTCCTCCAGCCCTCCCGGAACTCCTTCTGCCTCAGGAGTAATGCGAGCAATGCAGTGTGTGCTGGTAAACCAGCTAGCTCTCTGGAAAAAAAAAAAAAAAAAAAAAAAAAAAAAAAAAAAAAAA